ACAGTTTATTTGTTTTGGATTGTGATATATTTAATTATAAAAACTAATTAAAAAGAATAAAGCTCATTTTTCTTTTTCTTTTTATTGTGCTTGCTTTTTTTTTGTTCTTTCTTTGTTAATTTAGCTCATCATTTAATTTTCAACTTTTGATTTTATTATTAATTAATTAATCTTATTATTTCATATTTTTTCTTCATTTTTTCCTTCTAATTAACTATTTAATGATATATTTTTTCTTCAATATTTAAAAAGAAACAATTAAATTGGTGCAATGGGTGCATTAGACTTAGGTTCTGCTTTAGCAAAATGCATTAATCTCTCAAATTTGACACTTAACCTTTTGTAAAAACAGTTTATTTGTTTTGGATTGTATTTTTTTTAATTATAAAAACTAATTAAAAAAAATAAAGCTCTTTTTTCTTTTACTTTTTATTGTGCTTGCTTTTTTTTGTTCTTTCTTTGTTAATTTAGCTCATCATTTTTTTTTCAACTTTTGATTTTATTATTAATTAATTAATCTTATTATTTCATATTTTTTCTTCATTTTTCCTTCTAATTAACTATTTAATGATATATTTTTTCTTCAATATTTAAAAAGTTACAATTAAATTGGTGATAAAGGTGCATTAGACTTAGGTTCTGCTTTAGCAAACTGCATTAATCTCTCAAATTTGACACTTTTCCTTGGGTAAAAACAGTTTATTTGTTTTGGATTGTGATATATTTAATTATAAAAACTAATTAAAAAGAATAAAGCTCATTTTTCTTTTTCTTTTTCTTGTGCTTGCTTTTTTTTGTTCTTTCTTTGTTAATTTACCTCATCATTTTATTTTCAACTTTTGCTTTTATTATTAATTAATTAATCTTATTATTTCATATTTTTTCTTCATTTTTTCCTTCTAATTAACTATTTAATGATATATTTTTTCTTCAATATTTAAAAAGGGAAAATTAAATTGGTGCAATGGGTGCATCAAGCTTAGGTTCTGCTTTAGCAAAATGCATTAATCTCTCAAATTTGACACTTTTCCTTGGGTAAAAACAGTTTATTTGTTTTGGATTGTGATATTTTTAATTATAAAAACTAATTAAAAAGAATAAAGCTCATTTTTCTTTTTCTTTTTCTTGTGCTTGCTTTTTTTTGTTCTTTCTTTGTTAATTTAGCTCATCATTTTATTTTTCACTTTTGCTTTT